TTTTATGAAATCAAATCATATATAAAAATTAAATATATTTATGTCACCATTCAAAATAATTTCCATATAAGTATAATAAAAATAAATGATAATAATGTCTACATTCAAAAGATAGATTGGTAAAGTATCGAATTAAATGGTACTCCAATATTTGATTAAAAAATTGTAATATTTGTTTTTAATATTGTATAAAAATATATTAATTAGTCGTACTTTAAAAAAATAAATCGTAAATATTTTATTAAAAATTGTAATATTTGTTTCTAAAATTATAGCAATTAAAAATAAAAAAATATCAATACAAAATAAAAAATTTATTCAAATTTCATGACAAATGAGAATTATAATTTCGATTCAAAATAAATTAGAATTTTGAAGGCACATCAACACCAACTTGTAGGTTATTATCTTCTCTTTAGGAGAAGAGAAGGAGAAGAGAATGAGTTATTTGTTGCATCTTGGGAAAAACGATTTCTTTGGATGTATAGATTTACCGTTTCAAGAACTCAACATTTATGATGGTTGTTCATCTTGTGCTGCCAATTTAAATCTTGCAACAAAAAAACGTGATTAGGGTTTAGTGGAATAATTAAGTGTGATTATAACGTGTAAATATAAACAAAATGGCATAATTGTTGTTAGTTAGAAATAATTAAAAAAAATAAAAAGTGGCAGAAAAAACCATAGTGTGACACATCAGCCATATTTATTGTCAAATCAATATGGTGCAGGTATTTCAGAAAGTTACAAATATACCCTTAGATTAAGATTAAATTGAAATTTACTAATTAGGGTATTATGGTATACCCTTAGATTAAGATTAAATTGAAATTTACTAATTAGGGTATTATGGTAAATTGAAATTTACTAATTAGGGTATTATGGTATACCCTTAGATTAAGATTAAATTGAAATTTACTAATTAGGGTATTATGGTAAGTTAATGGTACACAGAGAATCAAAATATGGGAATGAAGAAGAATTGGAAAATAATACGTAACCTTTTGAAAATAATGGAGAATGAAGAAGATTGAGGAGTGAAAGAGTAAGAGTTTAGAATGGCTATATATAGGGTTTAGAATGCATGGGAAGTTGTGATATCTTGGAATATCAAAATAATTCATTCTAATTCCAATAATATACATTTAATCTTGTAGTGTAATGATAAATAGTGGGTATTTTTAAATCATGCAATGAATAATATTCCATTTAAATCAAATAAATAAAAAATAGTGTAAAATTATGATAGATTGACATGTCAGCAAAATTAAATGCCAAATGAATATGGTAACAGCATAGTGTTGATTAGTCTATTATACCCTTGGAATAAGAAAAGTTATAACATCTAATCAAAAGGTTAGACTTGGAATTTCCAGGTACTTTACTTTTAATAGATTGATAATAGATTGAATTAACAATTTGTCAAAATACAATTAACCTATATAAAATTTGTCAAAATACAATTATAAAATATATTGTTTATGATCTTTAATCAAAATATTTTTAATTATTTATAAAATTATTAATCTTCATGTTGAATTTGCATGAGCATATTTATATAGTTTATTAAATTTTTACGGGGTACTATCATACATATTAAAATTGGTAAAATTTGTAAATAAGACCTAATAAGAAGATTTTAAGATTTTAATTTAACGAGGAACTATCATATATGGTAGATTGTAAAAAATGTAAATACGACATAATAAGAAAGTTTTAAAATTGAAATTTGATGGGGGAGCTGTCATACATTTTAGGTTTGGAAAAATGGGCTAATATCTAGAATAGGTATAATAAGTTTTTAGAGTTAACTCATTTGGATGCAACGAAGGTATGTTAACTCATTTTGATTCACGAGTAGATGTGAACGTATCTATGAGATATCAGCTATTGATTGATTATTTTAATCATTATGGTTTGTTAACTATTTTGAATTCACGGATAGATGTGAATGTATCTATCAGATATCAGTTATTGATTGATCATTTTAATCACTATGGTTTGTTAACTCATTTGAATTCACGGGTAGATGTGAACGTATCTATCAGATACCAGCTATTGATTGATCATTTTAATCACTATCTTTTAATTATTTCTTTTGTTGTTGTTTTATATAATTGAAGTTATAAAAAATGTTGTATGATTTATTATAAATACGAATCAATTCTTAAAAGTCGATACATATTATTAGTAAATATATGAAACTACATGAATATTTATGAACTACAAAATAAGTTATATTATGTTTGATATTCTGAACACATGAATTAAAATTTGATAAATAATCATTAGTTATAATTGTATTAGTGTTATCCAACTGAAAACATTGTGTCATACTTAACAATTTAGTCATTGATACGTGTAATGTGAATTCAGACGGGACTCGTGCGACAACACAGATTTCTTACTAGTTTAGTATAAAAATTTATCCAAAAATACTTGTCATTTTACATTACCAGTACAATTTTATATTTAGTCTTCCAAATTATACCCTCTAATAAATATAATTAACTTATTATTTTTTCACTTAACATTAATACTAATTTGAATAGATCAATAATTAATTATAATAATTTGATAAAGTCATTATTCTCTCTATTTTATTTATTATTATTTCTTAATCGGTGTGAAATAACAAATAATATAGAACGAAGGAAATAATCAATACAAATAATTCTCTCTTTAATTTATCATCTCTTCTTTTTCACACTCAATTACTCTATTTTCACGCATCTATTCTAACAATTTTCAAATAAAAAATATTTATAAAACAAAACATATTCAAATTAAACCATAATTTTTTAAATAAAACGCACAAACTAAATTATAAATCACCAATCCGAAATGAAAAATACTCATAAATCAAAAAGATATTCAATTCAACTTTGATCTTGTCTTAGTAGAGTGTACAATTTCAAATGTGAAATCATTTATTTAAATAAATAAATAAGAATTTAGAGGTAATTCTATATCATATGTCAAGTTAAATCACATCTCTATCAATAGATGACAATGAAGATACAAAGTTATAAAATATTACTATCACAACAATTATTTTATGATTATTGGAGACAAGCATGTCACGTTACTACTTTCAGTATGCATTTGTCGTTTGTAATTATTGGAAACAAGTGTGTCAGGTTACTACTTTCGGTATGCATTTGTAGTTTGTAATTATTGGGGACAAGTATGTCATATTACAACATTCGGTATGCATTTGTTTAACATTTTTAAAACCCAAAAAAAGAAAATCACAATATATATAAAAAGACATTTTTAATTAAAAAATGAATGATTTTATTTTATTTTTATTTTATTATTAAATTAATTTTTATTCGATAAAAATATATGTATTAATAAACACATTATATATATATATATATATATATATATATATATATATATATATATATATATATATATATATATATATATATATATATATATATATATATATATATATATATATATATATATATATATATATATATATATATATATATATATATATATATATATATATATATATATATATATATATATATATATATATATATATATATATATATATATATATATATATATATATATATATATATATATATATATTGAAGAGTAAATATAAATCTTTATTAAAATAATAAGAGTAAAATGAAAGCAGAAATAGCAAATTAAAAATTACAACCTACAAGATTATTTAAATCAGTTTTTCAAAAAAAAATCATTAAGTAGAAAATAAAATTACAAAGCTGAAAGCTAAACAACACATTAAAAGTTATTAAAAGTTAAAAAATCTATTATTTGTCTTATTGATTGCTAAATTAATATATATTAACTGACTTAAATAAATGTCAATTATTAGTCGATGTCTCAATTTCAGAAAATAATTTTTATTTATTTTGACATATTGTTTTAAATAAATTATTGATATTTTATAAATCAATCATTCTTTTAAAAAAATAATACTAGTGCTCAACATGCGCAACTCTTAAATAAATATGGTTAAATAAATATGATTACGTTCAAAACATCTTCTAATAATAATTTAATCGCAATATATTACAAATCATCACTTAATGGATTAATCTAGTTTCATGATTTAGGAAAACGATTCACATATTAAATTTTTTTTATCAAATAATTAATTTTTAGTAGAAGATTTTTTTCTACTAAAATCCAAATACTTAATTATGTTCTAATAATAATTTAATCTTAATATATTTTAAACCAATAATAAATTCATCAATATTAAAATGTTACCTCTAGAACTTATAATTATTAAGGCATCAAGGAAGAATATATTAAATATGTTATTCAAGTTTATGCGAATACAATAGCGACAAACGGTGTTAGAGTTTTTATTCACTATTTTAAGATAGGGAAAAAAAAATCATAGACAAAATGATGTTACAACTCCGACAAACATTGTTATGCTTGTGAAACATCGTTACAACCATTTACACATTATTATTGACAAAAAAAAATATTATTTGAAAAATATAAATCAAATGGTATAAGTCAAAATATTAAAATTTTAAACTAAAATTTTATTCTATTATAAAAATAAAATCACACTACATTTATAAAAATCCTACTATTTTTCTAAGAATCATGTTTTGTACATTGTTGTGAGAAATTTATATAGTAACAGTTATTTGCAACACAACATTTATATCAATTAAATTCGTAAAAACCCGTAACGCGATTGCGTTTTTTAAAACCGTGGTAATTTTATTCGCATAGTCGTTAATTAATCTATTTCCTTTAACCATATATTATCTTTATTGGAATGCAATTCCTAAAATTATAACTTGTATATTATATTAAGAGTGATGGATTTTATTAACTTAGAGTGAAAGTGATACAAATATGAGGAGTACTCTTCATCATCATGACTCTGATCTCAATTAACATAACATAACATTAAGTAGGGGGGAGGAACCAGATTATTTTTACAACATTATTATTATTATTTTTCTGATTCCCCTAGTGATCTCATATCATATCTTCTCATCAGCTTTGTTCTCAACAGCAACAACAACCTTGCTGGTTTCCTCGTTGCTGGTTGGCTTCTCATCAGAATCAACATGACCAACCACAACAATATTCACCTGTGCCTTCTCTTTACCCATTGCAACTAGCAAGACACAACAACACCTGCATGTCCAAAATAAATTTATACTGTAAGAAAATTAGATTATATTGTATTATATTGACACAAAATAATGCACACAACATGGTTAGAAAAAAATGATGTATTATAAAATTAAATGAGAGACAGAACCTAATATAATTATATGGACTTGTGAAGGAAACTAGAATAAGTGATGAGTAGTTGGAATAGGTTGAAGTTATTTATAGTCCATATAGTATTTTATTTACAAATACACCCTTCATTGCATTTACTATTTTCTCTTGTGCCCTTCTTATCCTCTGCTAACTGCCCTCGTGATGATAAAACCTTGATGACTATGAATTGCATGTACATTATGTTGCGGCCATAGGAATCTGACATTTCAAAGTTGAGAATTTTCTACCACAGACTGTGGATAAGTGTGTTCATGAGTTTTTGTCGACTTCCTCATTTTATTTAATTTTTGTATCAATAATGTGGAATATCTCATGTTCAATGTTTATTAAATATTAGTGAGATATTTGTGCATTCGCACGAGTACTAGTGTGAACTGAAAATATGTCAGTTTATTAAATATCAGTGGAATATCTGTGCGTCCACACGAATACTGGTGTGGACTGGTGATATGTCATTAGATTGAATGATCGAAAGTTCAAATTTTCAAACCTCAAATGCCACAACACACTATCCTTGTGGTCGACAATAATTTTCAAACATTGAACTTTTGTCGAACTGATCTTAGTCTTAAATGTCCAGTTCTTCGACAAAGAAGATTTTAAGACCAAATTGTTCTTGGTGTCGAACAATTTTAAAACTCCATCTTTCATGACAACTGATAATTTTTTTCCGACTAGTTGTCAAACACTTAGCAAGTTGCACTTCATTCCAGGTACATAGAACACATCTTTGATCATAACTTTTCCTCCATTACTGATTTGAAGACTATGTTGTCAGTACCTTCTGCTTGCAACGAACTATTATCAGAAAGTTTTACCTTGCTCTTCTTAGACTCGTCAAAATCTATCAACCACTCCTTTCGATGAGTCATGTGATTCGAGCAGTCTGAGTTGAGTGTTAGACGACAACAACGGTATCTAGAGGGGGTGAATAGATACCCCTTTAAAAATATCCAAATAAAATATGATTTTGAAATTTTTTTTATCAAAGTACGACGCTGAAGTTTTTTTTTAATTTCTGTCTATACGAACACTTATTGGAAAGCTCGGATATGCAAACCGTAGATACGATAAAAAATGGAACAGGAATGATAATATGAATTAATAATTTTGAATCACTTTGCAAGTTATTTATCGTTCAATGAAAATTACTTGCAAGGCTATTTCCAATGACAATATTAAAAGAACTAGTTAAATCAATTTATCAAACACTTGGTGTGCAAGTGAATTTTCAGAATATTTCTCTTGATTGTGTTGATACACAAAGCCACTTATAATCAAAAGTGTTCTGCACTGGGCCCGACAGGCCCAATAGCATTGCTAAGGCCCAATCCAAATGGACTTGCTGAGGACCACGCCGATCAAAGGGTCACAGTCGTGCCCGGCGTGCTCCCTGAGGTTACTTGCTCGACCTCTACATCTCCAGCTCGACATCCTGCTGTCCAGCTCGACATCACCTCGAGCGCCCCAACTAGGGCAGACTCAGTCCACTGCACTCCCAACGAAACCCCGAAAAGACCGCGTCTCTGTCCGCCCGCACTTCACGCAGAACATCCAGGAAGGGGACCACGTGCGGGTCCCCACTACGCACGTAGAACCTGGCAGTTCCTCCATTGGGCCAAACCTGCCCGGCCCAATGAAGGAACCTTGGCCCAGCGCTGGGGGCTATAAATACCCTCTGTTTCCAGAGGGTCAGGTATTCATCATTCTACCCATACTTACTATTGCCTGCTCGTGCCTCTACTTACTTCAGCATCGGAGTGTCTTGCAGGTACCCCCCCCCCCCCCACCTCGTTCAAAACTTTCAGCTCGGAGCCAACCGTGACGGTCCAAGTCTGATCAGGTTAGATCAGTGGCGCCGTCTTTGGGAATCTAGCTTCCCCGTCTTACAAACAACTCAAAAGACCAAAGCTAAAAATTCAACTACCTGTCATGGCTGATCCAGCTCGCGATGAGCAGAACGTCCGTGTCGCCGACACCAATAATGGCACGGAAGACAAAAACGGACATCTCGACAACGCCGGCAATGTCGGCCACAACACCATTCCTGTAACAACCGTCCTCGGAACTTCCTCGTACAGGGACGGGGCCACAGCATCATCCTCCTCGCTCCCACCACCACTTGAGGACGACCCGGCGGCCCTCGCCCACTACAGAGTCGTCCGGTTTCAGGAAGTCCCCGTCCCCTCCGGGGCGGATGCCACCACACAAGCGATGTTCGCAGCAATTAACCAAACGAACCATCTCATCTTCGCCCAATGAGAGAGATTAAAGGCGCTTGAAGACGAGCGAAGATCCTCGAGGAGGCATCGGAGAACACATACTCCCCCTCCTCAGGTGACTGAAGCCCGACACCCTTCTCCCCCGCGGAGACACTACAGGGAAAACTCCAGAAGCCCTTCTCCCCGGCCAAAGCAGAGGCGACCCTATTTGGAGAGAGATCCCGTCATCCCCGCCGGAGAACCCAGTCGCGACCCAGCGAGGCACGACAAGAGACATGCCGGAGACGGCCGTGTAACATTCAACCAACGAGCATCACGCTCGAGGGAGGCTCAGCACGACCACCGTGCCAGACAATATTACAGGTCCCCATCCCTGTCTCCGGAGAGGAGCGACGAGGACGACCCCTGCGGTCCCCTGTCGCAGGCCATCATGGATGCACCCATCCCTCCGGGCATGGAGAAGCCCCCACATCTGAAGGAGTATGACAGAGTTGCGGACCCGGTCGACCACATTGACGGGTTCGAGGCCATGCTCCATTATCATAATGTCGGGGGGCCCATCAAGTGCCGTCTTTTCCCCACGACTCTCAGGAAGGCGGCCATGGACTGGTACAAAGGGCTCGCCCCGGGCTCAATCACCTCGTGGCGGAACCTGAAGAACCAGTTCATCAGTTCCTTCACCGCTTCTCGACGCCATCCAAAGACCGAGGCGGCGCTCGAGGCCATCATCCAAAGACAGGATGAGACCTTGAGGGAGTTCATCAACCGCTTCAATCGAGAAGCGATACAGGTCCCCTGCACGGACCACATGAAGAGGTATCTGCTGGAGAGGGGGCTCCTCCCAGCACAGAATTCAGAAAAGCCGTGGGAATCGAGCCGCCCAGGTCTTTCGACGCCCTCCTCGATAAAGCTCGAGCATACATGGATTACGAGGAGAGGGAAGCTGGTAACAGGGCCAGAGACTCCAGGGCTTGGGGTCCCAACAATAGCAGCAGCTCACGCCAAGAGGCTCCTCCCCGACGAACCGGGGAGAAAAGGAAAGAAGACCGACCCCGGGAAGCCCGGGAACAAAGGGGCCCCTCGGGCCGTTTCACCGAGTACACTCCGCTCACGGCTTCCCGCGAGTGTATTCTGGCGGAGTGTGCCAGTACAGACTTCAAGGACGGCGGCGTCAAGCGTCCCCGACCTGCTCCCGCCAAGCCAGGGGCGGACAAAAATAAATACTGTCAATACCATAGGAGTCATGGTCATCTGACGGAGGACTGCGTCCACCTCAAGGACGCCATTGAAACCCTCATCAAAGGAGGGAGGCTCGTGCAGTACAGGCGAAACGATGCTCCTCGTCGTGACGCCCATGAAGCCAAGGAGCCGGAAGAAGACGCCCGACCATCAGACGAGTCGGTGCCTATCCAGACCGCCTTCTCGGTGACCAGGCCCGAGGACTTCGACATTCCCGAACACCTGCAGGAACCGCTGACAACGCACAGCAGGTGGGAATAATTTCCCTCCGCCATGGTCATTAATGGGGGCGGGTTCAACGACCTCACCATCAATTCAGCTAAGAGGAAGTTGGACGAGCTGGTCGACGCGGCTCCCCCGCAAACAGTAACGTTCGAAAGGGTGAAGGGCAGGTCAGAGCCCATCACCTTCTACCTAGAAGAGCTCCCCGACGGAGCCCCGAACGCGGTCATCCCCTTACTGATAAGGGCAAGAATGGCTAATTTCGAAGTGCATCGCATCCTGGTCGATGAGGGGAGTTCCGTCGACGTGATGTACAACCAACTTTTCAGAACCCTAAAGCTGGACGACTCACATCTCTCTCCGTATGTGGGGTCGGATCTACAAGGCTTCAACGGCTCGACTTCCAAACCTTGGGGTTATGTCGAGCTTCTGGTCACGTTCGGCGAAGGAACAGCTACAAGACAAGTTAAAGTCCATTTCCTCGTCATTGACTGCCCGTCTCTGTACAATTGCATCTTGGGGAGACCGACACTGGCAGAACTAACAGCGGTGCCCTCGACCGTCCATCTGAAGATGAAGTTCTACACCAGGAGGGCACGGGTAGCCACCATCCAAGGAGACCTAGCCGCTGCCCGTAGGTGCTTCAACGCCGCTTCTAAGGGACGGGATACTGTCGACATAGGGACCAGACCCGCCAAAAGGACAAAACAGGAGCCCGACAGGAAAGCATCCCCCGAGGAAGAAGTCCAGAAAGCTCCACCAAAGGTCGATTCCATAGCCCTGGACACCCGCTTCGATCAGGACGAGCCATCCAGCAGCGAGCAAATCCCACTCTGACCAATACCGGACGGGGATTTTGAACTCGTTCCCCTCGGCACAGACCCGACCAAGGGAGTGAAGATTGGCAAAGACCTCCCCGACTTGGCCAGGAAGCAAATCAAGGCCTGTCTGCGCGAGAATGCTGATCTCTTCGCCTGGAGCGCTGCAGAGATGCCCGGACTCGACCCTGAGGTCGCCTGTCACCACCTCGCCATTGATCCAGCCGCCAAGGCCGTAGTACAACGTAGGCGTAGGCAGTCTCCAGAAAAAACGGAGGCTGCTGAAAAAGCTGTAAAAGACCTCCTAGAGGCAAATTTTATTTCTGAAGCCCGGTATTCCACCTGGCTGTCAAATGTTGTACTCGTGAAAAAGAATAATGGAAAATGGAGAATGTGCGTTGATTATACTGATCTCAACCGGGCTTGCCCGAAAGATGCTTTTCCCTTGCCTAACATAGATATGCTAGTCGACAACTCGGTCGACTACAAAACTTTTTCGTTCATGGACGCATATTCGGGCTATAACCAAATCCCAATGGCCCTGGGCGACAAACACTGCACGGCATTCATGACCAGCTCGGGCAACTATTACTACAACGTAATGCCCTTCGGACTGAAAAATGCCGGAGCAACTTACCAACGCATGATGAACAGAGTTTTCAACAAACAGATCGGCGACATGCTCGAGGTATATATGGACGACA